ATTTACAAGTATTAGCATTATTCAAATAAGATAACTAATGTAATTATGTTAACAACTTATAATCCAATTGGAACCTCCTTTGTGTGTGGTTTTCAATTGAGTAATAAAAAGATTTTATACTATACTTGTTTGAAATACCATTAGTAGATCCTCTAACCTTAACATTTGTTTTTATCATTGTTTAATCCTCACATTGATCTTCCATCTCAAAGTTCTCATCAACTTCTTTATTATTATTATTATTATTCTACTTGTTGTTGTTGTTTATAATTTATATAATTAACCTCTATGTGGTTCGACCCTGGTCTTACCAGGTTATTTATTACTTTGACACTCCTGCGCTTAGAAGAAGACATCAATTTTTTGATCGTATCAACTGCCCATTCACCAGGACATTATTTTCAGTAACTAAGAAATAATTTTCAAGGCTTGCCCATTCACTAGGGCATTATTTCCAGCAACTGCCCATTCACTAGGACATTATTTCTAGCAATCAAGAAATAATTTTCAAGGCTTGCCTATTCATTAGGGCATTATTCTTATTCACCAAGACATTATTTCCAGTAACCAGGAAATAATTTTTCAAGGTTTGCCCATTCACTAGGACATTATTTCCAGTAACCAGCATTAGAATTTACAATCTATCCTTCTACAATAAAAAACAATATAAACTAATTAATTACTCTAATGTGTCGAACACCTACCTGGTGTCTGTGCGCGTGGAGAGGTTCCTTGTTGCTAATTAGGTCCTACAACCTCCTTTGTACCAATAAAAATTTTCTTGTCATTGTTCATTCATTTGAACCAAGAAAATTATAATACTCATTACATATTCTTTGATTAAATCCAACACCTTTAATTAAGTTTGATTGACTTTTAATTAAAGGAGGACAGAACCTCCTTTTTTTGAAACATTTACTTATTTTTTTACAAAAGTTTCTATTCAATTTAACTAATCAACATCAATTGTCTTCAATTTGGTAAGATTCCTCAATGATATTATCTAAACTCTATTCTCTAATTTTTCTTCTCCATTTAGCCAAAAAAATCCTCAATAATATCTTTTAAACTCCATTCTTTATTTTTTTTTCTTCTCCATTTAGCCAAAAACAACATTGGGATGGAAGTGAAGATTTTTCTTTTCTCTTGGAAAAATTCCTACTCCATTCATATAATAACACTTATAAACCTTTATATTTCTATATTTTCCAAAAAATTGTATTAAACCTCAAATCCCGTAAATTATTTCTCTTTTGGCGGAAAAATAATTTTTGTTTCTTTTATTTAAAATTAAACACTTACCTAATCATAATTCATGCTTTCTAACATGGTTCAAATATAATTTGCATTATTCTTATAAATTATAACATAAATCCACAAAAACTTCACATAATCATAATTTTGCATAATCCTTCATCAAACATAAAATTAAAGGAATTAATCATTTGAAGCATGTTATTTACCTCACTTTGATAAGGATTTAAGGAAAAAATACAAGAAAAATCAAGTTTTCTTCTTCTCCATCTTCAAACCCTAGCTTGAAATCCTTCCTCCAATGCATTCACCATCTTAAAATCAACTCCCTCTTAATATTTAATTAAGTTAATCACTCTAATTACTTACTTTAATTAGTGAAATCAATGAGAATTTAAGTAGAAAAATCACACAATTCTTCCCCCTCTCCTTGTTTAAAGCTTATGGCTAAAAGAGAAAAAAATGAGCATTTATATTCTAACTTTTACCTATTTACACTTTGACCCTCATTTCTCCTCATTTCTATTCTTGTCACTCAACTCTTCTTTTACTTAATTCTCACCATAATATCTTATATTTTATTCTATTGTATCCAATTATAATACTTGAAATCCTTTTATTTAATCTATTTGGTACTTTATTTATTTTACTCAGATTATAATTTAACAGTTTTTCATATTCTCCTCCCCTAAAAAGAAATTTTGTCCTCAAAATTGAACCTCGTAACCTAAATCTAGAAATAAGTTTTTATCTCATTTGAGATTCTCTTTTCCAAGTCACCTCTTCGATTTGGGAATTCCTCCACAATATCTTGATAATTGGAATCTTCTTATTTCTCAATTCCTTCACATTGTAATCTAAGACTTTCACTGGCTTTATTTCCAATGTTAAATTCTCATCAATTTCTAGAGGAATTTGAGGCAAGACTTGAGATGTATCCACTTCAGCCTTTCTTAATAGAGAGACATGAAACACATCATGGATTTTGGCCAGATATAGAGGTAAAGCCAATCTATAAGCTACAGGCTCAATCCTTTTGGTGACCTCAAAAGACCCAACATACCTCGGCGCCAATTTTCCTTTCATGCCGAATCTTAATACTTGTTTCCATGGGGTGACTTTTAAAAATACTTTGTCACCAATTTCAAACTCTAGGAGTCTTCTCCTATTATTCGCATAACTCTTTTGCCTTTCCTGAGCTGCTTTCATTCTATTGCTTATGATCTTTATCTTTTTAGAGGTAATCTGTACCAGTTCTAGTCCAATTAGTTCTCTATCCCCTACTTCTTCCCAGCATACTGGCGTCCGACATCTTCTACCGTATAAGGCTTCATAGGAAGCCATTCTTATTATAGCATGATAGCTGTTCTTGTAAGTGAATTCTACTAATAGTAGATGATCTTTCCAATTTCCTCCAAACTTCAATATACAGGCCCTTAGTAAATCCTTTAATATTTAAATAGTCCTCTCAGATTGACTATCAATTTGAGGATGAAAAGTTGTGCTTAAATTCAACTTCGTTCCGAGAGCCTGTTGAACATTTGGCTATAATCGAGAGGTCCGAGAGCCTGTTGAACATTTGGCTATAATTGAGAGGTAAACCTTAGATCTTGATTTGAAACTATTGAAAATGGCACACCATGTAACCTTATAACTTCATCCACATATAATTTTTCCAATTTCTCCATTGACTTTGTCATTTTTATTGCAAAAAGAGTGCAAATTTAGTAAATCAGTCCACAATGACCTAAATAACATCTCTTCCTCTTTTTCCTCTCAATAATCCAGATACAAAGTCCATCATGATATTTTCCCACTTCCACACAAGTATCAATAATGGTTGTAAAAACCCAGCTGGTTATGGTGTTCCACCTTTACCTGTTGGCAAATCCCACACTTTGCCATATATTCAGCCACTTCTTTCTTCATATTCGATCACCAATAAAAATCTTTTAAATCTCCATACATTTTAGCACTTCTAGGGTGTGTTGCAAATCTAGACTCGTGGGCCTTCTGTAAAACTTCCCTCTCCAGGGGTTGATCATCTGGTAAGTACATTCATTTTCCAAGGACTACCATTCTATCTTTCTAAATTTAAAGTGACATCTTGATTCTTGACTTCACCTTTTCTCTTATCTTACAAACTCCTAGATCTTCTTGTTAAGCTTCTAGTACTTTGTCCTAGAGTGTTGACCTTACTCTTAATTAGGCCACTAATGGCTCATCTAGTCCCACCTCTACTTGAGTATTAATTTTTCTTAATTCTAGCAATTCTTTTTCATCCCAATCGTCCCACTGAGCATCCACTGTCTTGACCTTGCGACTAAGAGCATCTGTGACTATATTTGCTCTCCCTAAATGATAATCAATTACACAATCATAATCCTTTATCAATTCCACCCAACATCTTTGTCGCATATTCAATTCCTTCTACATCATTATATACCTCAAACTCTTATGATTCATGAATATCTAAACCCAAGACCCATATAAATAGTGCGTCTGTACCCTTAAGGAAAACACCGTAGCGGCTAATTCTAAATCATGCACCGGGTAATTGATTTCGTGAGCCTTTAACTGTCTTAATGCACATGCAATTACTTTACCATGTTGCATTAATACACACCCTGGTCCCTTCTTTGATGCATCACTATAGACCATTAATCCGTCAATTTCTAATGGAAGTGTTAACATCAGTGCAGTAGTGAGTCTTTTTTCAGTTTTTGGAAGATTTCTTCGCATTCTTGAGTCCACTCCCACTTTATCTCTTTTCGAGTCAACCGAGTCATGGGAATAGCTATGGTAGAAAATCTCTTGACAAGTCTTCAATGGTACTCTGCTAATCCAAGAAAACTATGAATTTCAGTGATACTGGTAGGTCTGTCCCATTTCAATATTGCTTCAACTTTTCTAAGATCTATCGATATTCCTTTAGTCAATATAATGTGTCCTAGAAAAATCACTTTCTTCAGCCAGAATTCACATTTGCTAAGTTTGGCATATAGTCGAAGCTCCTTTAGGGTCATTAATACTTGCCTCGAATGTTGTTCATGCTCCAAATATGACTTTAAATAAACTAAAACTTCACCTATGAATACCATTACAAACTTTTCTAAGTATGGTCGAAAGACCTTGTTCATCAAATCCATGAACATAGTCGGTGTATTTGTTAGCCTAAACAACATTACTAGAACTTGTAATGTCCATACCGAGTTCTAAATGAGGTTTTTGCTACATCTAGTTTCTTAATCCTTAATTGATAGTATCCTGACCTCAGATCTATTTTCAAAAACACTTTTGCCCCCTTTAACTGATCAAACAAATTATCTATCAACGGGGGTGTATATTTATTCTTTATTATTACTCTGTTCAACTACCTATAATCTATACAAAGCCGAAGGATCCTATTTTTTTTCTTCACAAATAACATAGGAGCCCTCCAAAGTGAATTACTTAGACGAATAAACCCTTTATTTAGTAATTCCTGTAGTTGGATCTTTAGTTCGGCCAACTCGGTTGGCGCCATCTTATATAGTGATTGGGTTATCAGAGACGTACCAGGTAGTATCAATAGTGGCCTCCATTTCTCTCTCCAGGGGGACTCCCAGCAGTTCATCCAGAAATAAATCATGAAATTTCCTTATATTGGAACATTTGACATTTGAATATCTCCTATTTTGGTCTTTAAGACATAAGCAAGGTAAGCCTCATATCCTTTTTTTTTAATCATTTTCCTAGCAGCCATAGCTAAGATAATACAGTTTGAGATGACATTTCTCTCCCCCGTAAACACTATATTTTTACCATTGGGCCCTTAAAGAGTTACTGTTTTTGTGAAACAATCCATTTGAGCTTTATTCATACTTAGCCAGTCCATTCCCAAGATGATATCAAAATCATGTAATTCTAGTGGTAATAAATCTACTTTTAACTCACAACCACCTATATTAATTTGGATCCCCTTATATATATGATCATCATTCACAGTTTCACTTAATGAAGTGCTTATAATAAACCCATTTTCTATTCTACAAGGATTTCTCCATAATCCCTCCACAAGTTTATTTGCAATAAATGAGTGTGTGGCACTCGAATCAAACAATACATGAACAAATAGAGAATTTAATTGCAATGTGCCTGCCACAACATCAAAAGTGGCCCTAGTCTCTTACTCGGTTATGTAGCATACTTTACCTTGGGTTCGACCCCTCCGTATTTTGTCACCTTTGGCATGAGTTCGGCTTCTACTACCGCTAGCCCTTGACAAATCCTATCTGGCTACTCTATTCACGGTAGCGAATTGCTGCTAACTTTGAGCTTACTGCTGATTTTGGGTGATTTCAGTTCTACAGGGACAATCTCTTTGGAAGTGCCCTTGACCGCAATCTCTCCACATGTGCTCCCCTTGGCATATATAACACCACCCTGGTGTTGTAGAACAGTCCCCTGGATACCTTTGCCCACATTAAACACATAAGGGATAAGTGATTGTTCTCTGCTCTGACACTCCTCTAGAAAAATTACCCTTAAGGTTTGGTTATCATCTTGTCAACCCCATCTTAGTAGTCTGAACTGTTGTAACTGATGTACCTCCTACCTTTTTAAACTAGCTGTGTTGTCTTTTCTTTTTTTTTAAGAAAGGGGGTCTCTTATAGTTGTACTCTATATCCTTTCGTTTACCAAGACCATGTTGGCTTTGTTGGCCCTCTTTTAAGCAAGCTTCTAAGGCCCCTATTGCTTCAACAAGATCTCTAGTGGTCTCGAACTTAAATGCAATCAACCCTTGTCTCAACTCTTGCTACAATTTATCCCTTAACCTTTCCACCCTATGTTGCTCACCAGGGACATAATGCGAGGCAAATGTGGAAAAGTCATGAAACCTCCTCTTATAATCAAGTACTGACATGTCTCCTTACCTTAAGGCCAGAAACTCTTGTTCTTTAATTTTTTTATGATAGGAGGAGTAAAACTGATGTTCAAAATACATTTTAAACTCAGCCTAAGTCCAGGATCCTGCGGGTCTCCTCAATCACTATATCCCACCAGGACCATGCCCTATCAGAAAGTAAATGAGTGGCATAGTTCATTCGCAAGCCCTCTATTACTTGCATTTGACCCATAGTATCCTCAATTGTGAGAAACCATCTTCATGCTATCTCGGCATCTGGTTCACCTAAAAAGGGTTGGCATCCAAGCTCTCTCATGCTTTTTACAATTCGCACTAATATGACCACATTAATAGCTTATGTCGTAGTTGCTGGAGCTGCTTGTACTACTGGAGCTATTGGGATTGTTAGGGCCAAGGCACCAAACATTGCCTCAACCACTGCTTTCACTATATGAGCTATAAACAAAGGGTCGACATGTAGTGTAGCAACCGTTGCATGTGCTGGAGTCATAGCTAGAGCTATAACTAGAGGCAAGACTTCCTGTCTCTGCTGGTTTTGAGTTGTAACCCCTTAGTCTGTCTCAAGTCAGTGTCACGAATGAGTCCAGTCGACTCTCCAGTCTTGTTTGGTGAGGCTCTAGGGGTATATGTGAGGCAGTATCCTCCAATCAATCCTCTCCTATCTCTCATTAAAGCCTTTTTTAATCATTGTACCCTTCCTTATGCGAATCATCCTGATATAAGTCAAAACATTATTAAACCACCCCTGTTTTTTCCACTCCTGGAACCCAAGCCAGGGCTCTGATACGAATTGTAACAGTCTCAAATTGTAAACTCAAAATATATGATCTATATTCTTAGTTACCAAATTATACACAAACACACACACACACACACACACACACACAGAGCAGAGTTTTCTTTGCATTCTTTAGATATCAAGTTATCAACTCAATCATTTCTCAGTCTATAATATCAATCACAATATTTTTCCTATCATTTGAACTTCAAAAACTCAAGCATATTTTAATATCTTAATTCTATTTTCTATAGTACACTATAATAAACTAATAAATTATTAACATACATTGTCTTTTTTTTTTAAGTATTTGTGCTCAAATATATATACAACCAACCATAATTCAACTTAATAATAATAACATTATAAATTACGTTATACACAAGATAATAAGTTAAACATTACAATTTTAGATATGGAAGTATATTATAACAAAATATTAGTTCTTCCAATTACATTAAAACAAAATATTAGATCTTCCATTTATATTAATCACATAACAAAATTATTTATTCAAGCATCTACTTTCCAGATCGAGGGTGTGATGTACCTTAAAACATAATCACATTAAACATGATTAAAAAAATTGTACATTTCAATAAGTAATTAATTAAGAACTAATTATTCATATACATTAAAGTGATTTTCATATCATAG